CTCAGTTTAAATTCTAAAGAGCAAAATGCATCTGCTAACTTCTGAATAGCAATAGTACCAAACTTGGTGCCTGATGATTGAATTCAGATGTGGTTGCAGCTGGAAATCATTGTGGCCTCTTAGTTACTAGATGACTGAGGATATTAGACTGTGACAATCTTGATATTTATAGAAAATATAAAGTTTTTAAAATTTGTTTTTCCACACTCGTCTTTTTTTTCTTACCTATTTCACTTCTCTCCTTCCTACTGAGTTCTAAAAAAATATATGCTTGTAAAAACTCTATTTCAGGAGATTATTTAGTAAAATATCAAAGTCAGTTTTCTCCATCCTACTTTTCCCAATTCTACTGTTAAGTGGCTTTAACACACTGTATGTTATACCATGTATTTCACAGGTGTTGAAAAAATTTTATTTTTTCTGCCCTGATTTTTGTATTTTGACTTTGTTGCGATATAAAATTTTTACTTGTTTGTAGTAAAACAATCTTTGTGGCTTCTGGGCTAGTATCATACTTAGGACAGCTTTCTCTAGCTGAAGCTTATAAAATACTGTGCCCATGTCCTTTCTATTATTTGTGTTTTATTTGTAAAATTTATATATTTAATCTAGCTAGAATTTTATTTATTTTTATTTTCTTCTTCTTCCGTTTTTTTTGTTTTTGTTCTGAAAGTTCTGAGGAAAGGACATTATGGTCTTTTTCTTAAATAATTGACTAGCCAGTTGTCCTCTCTTTTGTTTTACTTTTTAAATATCACAACATTCTCTCCTTTAAGTTCAAACAAGGGAAAACAAAGCTTTATGTGGTCACTATCAACTGTTCCATTTTTTGATCTCACAAAAAAAGTTTGCAGTATCTCAGAGGTATTAATAAACACAGCTCCAGGGAAAATTGTCATAAAAGAAGGAATTTATTGCATATTCAATCTGCTTTTTATTTGAAGTAGAATGCTCTTCTGATTTATTCAAAAGTGCAATAGGGTAGTCAAGGAGAGCTTTTGATGGAGAATTTGTTGACAACTGAATTTTTATAAAGCTATAAAATGGTGGATTCCTGATTATTGGAAAGTTTTGTTTTGTCCAATTGGAAGATGAAGTGAAGCAGACAGTTTTACAATTCAAAAATTTTAAAGCAACCATCGCATTGAAGCTATATAAGGAATATAGACTTTATTAAAATTTTAACTATACCTGGAATCCTAGATTCTTGGCTATACACTAGGTGATGGTGGGAAAGCAATTTTCTGTCTTGGCTCTGTTCATAGTTTCATGGAGAAGCCAATCACCCCTATCTGTCTACAAACTCAAGGGAAGAACTGATTGCTACAGTCACCCAAAACTCATTCAAAAATTAGTTAATAATAATGAAATATCATTTTTTGTGTCCCTTTTTGTATCCCCCTACCATGGACACATACTCCCTTACTAGTAAATTTCTGATGAAAGTGGTGTGGGCTAAAAGATTGTTGTAGGGAACAGGAAATCTGTGGCCCTGATGATTTTGTCAAGGAAAATAAATAAGTCAAAAATAAATCACTGCCCATTGCAAGTAGTGAATTCAGTGAAAATGAAGAACTAATACATCAGAAGCTTCAAGTGGCAAGATCCTGCCAGAGATGTGGAATAGTTTAATGAGTTAAAGGCACACACTCTGAAGTCTTGGCTACCTGGGCTCCAATTCTGGGTCTATGGCTTGATGTGGTGTTTATTATTTATTGGCAACCATGTTTTATTTAGCCTCTGTGGCTTGCAATTTCCTCTTCTGTGAAAACAGTATTATGAGGCTAAATTAATACAGGTAAAACATTTAGTATTCAATAAATGCTAGTTAATACTCTAAAGTTTTTGTTCTCTAAGAAGGACGTGTCCTTCAAAATCCTTACGCTCAGCATTCAACATTGTAAAATATTAAAAATAAAATTGTGCTTCAGGTGATTTAGAGGCTTTGAGAAAAGTTATACCCTGACACAGCCTTCATGTGTCTCATTTTCATTTTTCTATCCGGATTCAACTTTCTTGAAAGTACTTTGCAATGATTAGTAAGGCCTAAGAAGTCCACCTTTAGAATCTTATGTTTCTTAAAAGTGTGTTAGTTTCCAAAATATATAAGGAACACATCATTTTGAGGAGAATACAATAAAGTATATAAAAAAGTAGAATTCTACTACCCAGTAAAAAGCCTCATATAAGATTTAATATTTACTTCCACACTTTTCTTCTTAAGATTCGTAGCTATTTTTTCATATCATTATATATTTATAAAAATGATTTCCAACAGCTGTATAATATTCTTTGATCTTTTAATCATAGTGTTTCTAACCATTCAGATATATCTATATAACTATATCTATTTTATAGTTCTCCTTGCTGCAAATAATGCTGGTAAGAAATCCTTTTTTGCATCTTTGTTTGCCAAGGACAGATTTTTAAAACAGACTCTCCTCTGATGGTATATATTACCTAGGACCTTGGTATATATTGCCAAACTGTTTCCCAGAAAGTTTGTGCTGGTTTCTATTTCTACCAGCTGTATTGCTGCTACATTTAAGATAACATTTTTAAAACTGTTGACACTTTGATAGGTTATGTCTTAATTTGCATATCTTTTTTAATAAGTATGATTTTTTACAAGTATTTTTTCTTAGTAATCCAGTTGTATGTCTTTTTAATTAAACTTATATTTTGTGAATTTCTAAAATGTTGCCAATTTGTGAGTTATCCATCAAAATTAAAGTTAATTGTTATTTGCATTTATGTAGCTACTTGAAATTAATCTCTTATTTTATAGATTAAAATTTTTCTTTAATACAACTATGCCATTTAAGTGCAAGTGTTTATTTGGGGCTAATTTTCAATCTAGTTGCATCTGCTATTCCAAGCGTTTTCCTCTTATTTAGGTGCCCACCTTCAAGGCTCTATATTTGCTAGATGCTTGCACCTGACTACACATTATCTCCTAAGAATCCTACCTAGACCTACCTTTGTATCTATTTCCTTAAACTCAGTCATTTCTTTACATACTTACTGTGTTAGTCCATTTGTGTTGCTATAAAGGAATAGCTGAGACTGGATAATTTATAAAGACAAGAGGTTTATTTTGGCTCATGATTCTGCAGACTGTACAGGAAGCATGGCACTGGCATCTACTCCAGAAGAGGGCCTCAGGAAGTTTTCGATCGTGGTGGCAGGTGAAGGGGGAGCAACATGTCCCATAGCAAGAGAGAGAGAGAGGAGGAGATGCCAGAACCCTTTCAACACCAAGCTCTTGCCTGAACTATGAGGGTTAGGACTCATTACCATGGGGAGGGCACTAAGCCATTCATAAGGGAGTCATCCCCATTACCCAAAAACGTCCCACCAGTCTCTGCCTCCAACACTGGAGATCACGTTTCAACATGAGATTTGGAGGGGACAAACATCCAAACAATATAATTTATTCCGTTAAATTCTACCTGGCTGACACACCAGTATCTCCAGGCAGAAGGATGTAATATCCTCTAATTGGATTGCAATGTATTAACAGTCTTTCTCTCCTAGATTGGTAAGTTGTTTGCATTTTAAGGAGTGGTTATAACATTAGGAATTTCAGACACAGTATTTGGTAAGTAGAAGAGACATTTTTAGGTAGAGAGGTGTTTTGAGTCAGATGAGACTTGACTATCAGGTAGATATTAGCAGCCTACTTAGATATAGAATAAGCCTGAGTTGCTTTTTATTTACAATTTCTCAGCATGTTAACCATGTTAGATCCCAAATAGAAGGAAAAACCTGGCTTTGACAGAGTTAAAAAGGACCATAACTAAAAGACCTAGGAAGTTCACAGGAAGGGCAATTTAAATGATCAAGGAGGCTGAGATTCTTAAACTCTCTAAAATGATGAACTAGAAATATTGAACTGCAGTCTAAAAGATCAAATGCTGATGTATAAGAAAGATCAAAGTGTATACAATCGCAAACATAATAAAGAATTAACAGGGAGATTTGTTCAAACTCAGTATGGAAAGCTATCAAATTCACAAATCACAATTCTAGAGAATTATGAGGAAAAGTATATAGCACAGCATAGTTAATAAAATTAGAGAATATAAAATTTCGAGATGAAAACTCTCAAGGGGCTAGAAGCTGTCGTTGCTGGGTCATGTCTTCCTTGAGGCCGCCTTTAATGATGATTTCATGAGGGGGTATTTTTCTCTCTTACTTCTCTTTCCTCTCTCCTCTCTCCTCTCAGTAGAATAAGGCTAGGTGCTATTGTATCAAGTTTGTTTAGGGCCAGTGTCACAACTCTTATAGTTTATGTTAAATTTAGTGGTCCCCGATAAATATGTATTAAACATAAAATAATCAAAAATGGTTGTAAAGGTTGACAGCTTATGGTAATTTAGGAAACCATTAATTCTAAAAGAGCAGCGATTTTACAGAGTTTGAAGGCACTTAGGTGGTTTTCTTAGAGTAGGAAAAAAGCTATCATGCTGTGTGTGTAATTTTCTGCAATTTTACCACTTAAACTAGATGTATCTGAAAATGGTTTCTATATTCAATAGGCTATGAAATAAATTGCCTTTTCTGGGATAATGTAAAGGTCACTACCATGTTTTAGACTTTTAACAACTTTCATTGTGCTATAAATAACTTTGGCTAGCATTTTTATTTTATGAAACATAAGTTGTATAAATTGGATTTTCAACTGTATATGGTAGGTGAATTATGTTGAAAACGTGTACACAGCACATTGCTACAGGACTCTTTAATTAAAGTCCTTTTTCAAGGTTTCTGCTAATGTTAAAGCTAATATCTCTTAACATCTCTAGTTATTGAATTTTGAGTTTAGTGATTATGGGATAAGAAAATTATGTGAAAGTGGTCAGAGAAATTTAAACAATCTTATCTGGGTTGGGCTGTTCTCAAATATTTCAAAAACTCTTCTTAAGAATAATTTCTTCATATTATTCTAGATATAGTTCTATCTTCCATATAACACTGTTTTTTTTTTTTAATGGCAGATACAGGGAGTGTCATTGTTGACAAGGTGTCAGAGCAACATCAACATCTTGCTGACCAGCCCAGCTGGATTTTAACAGCTTCACTGAGAAAGGCCACATTGTGATAAAGATAACAACATTAAGAGTGGATACAAAAAATAAGAGGTGACACAGTTTATTTAGCACATACCCTAAAAGATTTCAGAACCATATTCAGGTTCATCTTTAAATTGTACTACCCAAAAACCTCTTCTTTTAGCTTGTTCAAAAATTATTTTATTAATTGGTTCACTCATCACTTTTACAGAATAATCAGTTAGCGAACATTGCCTGGCTCTATGGTAGAAATAAAGTGTCCAGGCATGGTTCCTGGCTTTAAGGGACACAGGACAATTATGCAAAAACATATAACGCAAACATTAGCTCTAAGAGAAGCAGAAATCCTTATGCACATTCAAAGGAAAGAATGATGAATCATTTTTGAGAAATTAGAGAAGAATTCTTGGAGGAAAATAAATTTTGAAATTACTCCATCTATAAGCAGGGTTAGTGGCTGTGTAGAGGGCCTTCTTGAAAAATATAAGAATGCCAGTGAAGTCAATGGAAAAAAAAGTGAGTAGTTTTGATTTGCTAGATCACAGAGTGTACGTATTTATTCACTTATGCAACAAATACTTAATGAGTGCCTAGTTTTGAGGCTGTATTCTACTAGGTGGCCGGTGTACATCGATGAACAAAACTGACTTGGCCTAAGCCCTTATGGAGCAAATTATAACCTAGTGAGAAGGCAGGCAGAAAACAGTAAGCAAGCTATCATTATAATATTCAACTGGTAACAGGGGCTACAAAGCTATAAACAAGAGACAGAGAGTGAAAATAAGTAACAAGGGAGGCTTATTTCATGTAATCAGAAATGTCTAAAGAAGAGATATTTAACTTCATACCTGAAAGATGAAAAGTAGCCAGCCAAGGAAAGAAGAGTATAATTCCAAACAGAGAATACAGCATGTGCAAAAGAACCTGAAGGAGTATAGAGTTTGTATTTGAGAAACAGAAAGTCACGCACTGGAGAATAGTGAGAGAGGAAGGTAGATCGAGCTGAGACTGAAGACGGAAATGGACCCAGATCAATCAGGGGCTTTTCTTAGAATGGTGTTTGTTTGGAACTACATATGAGATGGGAAGTCATGAAACAATTAAACAGATCTGTAACATGATGTTGCTCTGGATGCCATATGCAAACTAAATGGACAGAAATAAGAAATGGAAGTGGGGCAAATTGCCAAGAGGCTATTGTAGTACTCTATGTGAGAAATGGTGGTTTCGATTGGAGTGCTTGCCAGTGAGATAGAAGTTTTTGAAGCCAAGATGTATTTACCAGGACTTGCTGATGGCCATTGAGACACAAAGCTGTTAAGGCTGGTTAGGTACTGGGCATGGGGCAGTCATGTGATTCAGCTTCACATCTTTTACTCCTGGAAGCCTTCACTGACCTTTGCAGGTTGGGGCAAGTGTCCCCTCTGCAGTGCTTGCATAATAGCCAAAGGTATCTGGCATTGCACTGTCCACATTATAGTGTAGTTACTTATTTATGTGTTTGTTTCCCCGATAGACAGTGAGTACCTTCAGGCCTCAAACCATATTCATCATTGTCACTTCTCACTTATAAACTCAGAATAAGAATTGGTTGAAGAAATGAGGTCAGGCTGAATTTGTTAATATTTTTTGATTTTCTAGAATATTAGAGGGAAATGTATAATAAAGAGATTCAAACAATATCAATTTAAAAGAAAATGTTTGAAGAGCAAGGCAGTAAATTAATCTGTATATTAAGCTGTAAATAGTTTAAAAGTAGTTGGGCTTGTAATTTTTAAATTATTTAACATGCCAAAAAAACCTGTTTGCTTTTAAATATACTTCAGAGTATATGAATCAAATACTCTTTTACTAAAATTTGTTCATCCTCTAATCTACAAGTATCATATGATTTGATCAAAGCTCTGTAAGTTTGATGATTTACCCAAATCAGTTTTAAGTCCCATCGATAATTTGAAGTAGGATATTTGAGAGGCAGAAGACCTGGTTTATATTCATGTCTCACCATTAACTAGTGGGTCAGTTTATTCCTATAGACCTCCTTTATCACTTCTCGTATTGTTCAAGTATGTTTACGTTGTGTTCACAACTCTCCTAGGGTCTGCAGGTGTTTAGGGAAAGTGGTGGAGGAAACTGCAATCAAATACTTTACAATCTACCCTGGCCTATACTTCCGGCACTCAAGTAAGTTTGAATTGCTTAAGTATAGTCTCTTGAATAGGGAATTGTTAAAGGCCTTTTAAAGAAAAAAAGTTCTCATGCACCAGCAGGAAAGATGCATGTGGAGTAAAGTGAGTCTGAGGAAGATTTAGGGAAAAAAATAAACAGGATTCAGTCTTCAAGTATTTATGAAGATATAAGGAAGCAACCTGATTCAGTTCCCTACTGAATTATGTTAAGTAAAAGAAATACTTAGCAAAAAAGCAGCATAGGTATTTGCAGTAGAAATACCCACTTGACCCCACCACCCACTTCCCCTTCTAATGAAAACTGCCCATTTCCAACCATGGTTTCTAGGGAGTCAAGTTTATACCCCATAGTCCTTCATCTCTGCCTTTCTCCCCAATTGATAGAAGCTGAGATGCCCAAGAGAGCAATCCGTGTGAGTGGTTCCTAGAGCTGCTTTAGATGTAGTTCTTTAGTGTTACCTAGTCTCAGGTCTGGTCTACATATGTTCCTAAAATAAACTCCCATCTCCTTGAAGTAGATTGAAATAGTCCCCATTTGCCACCAAAAGAGCAAAACTAAAAATAGTGTTGATCAGTTATATATGAGAAAATGAAAACCCTTTGTTTACAAAAGAATTAGGGAGAAAGAAACCTATTTCCAGTTAGAGTCAAGGATGGCTCTAACTTATTTTTCATTTAGAAGTGACCATCTCTAGGGGTGTTAACATTCCTAAAGCCCTGACTGCAGCTTCCAAATGTTGTCCATAGTTTTAGGTCTTGCCCTAGATCTCTGGGTGCTAAAGCTCCTGGTGTACCAGAGCTACTCTGGAAAGCCTGCTGCAAATATTGATTCAAGGGCCTCATCCCCAAGGATTATGCAGGAAGTCTGGGGTATGCTTAGGCACCTCTAATTTTAATGAGCTCCATAATGATTCTGGCACAGCCAGATTTCAAAACCATGCCCAGTGACCTCAAGCAGTTTTGACTCAGAGTTGCACTCATATATCTTGAGATGTATGGCTTTCTGCTAATATGTCCCTCTGTTTTTAGTTCCTAAATTAAAAACAAAGATTTCTTTTTCTTTCTCTATGTACTCTGCTGGTAATAGCATGATAACATTTGAGTCTTTATATCTGATCTCGCTGTTTTTGCTTCCTATAGAAATAAAAAATAAGTGACTTATCATTCTTGGAAAATTTAAATTGATATTGCAGGGAAAGCATATCAGTGAGTCCCATATGAACTTTCCCCTTCTGAAAAGATCAAACACCACAGCTCCTTAAAAAAATTATTAGCTCAAGCCTGTAATCCCAGCACTTTGGGAGGCTGAGACAGGGGGATCACGAGGTCAGGAGATCGAGACCATCCTGGCTAACACGGTGAAACTCCGTCTCTACTAAAAAATACAAAAAACTAGCTGGGCGAGGTGGCGGGCGCCTGTAGTCCCAGCTACTCGGGAGGCTGAGGTGGGAGAATGGCATGAACCCGGGAGGCGGAGCGTGCAGTGAGCTGAGATCCGGCCACTGCACTCCAGCCTGGGCGACAGAGCAAGACTCTGTCTCAAAAAAAAAAAAAAAAAAAAATTATTAGTATTCTTTTTGATTGACAAATTATAATTGTATACATTTATGAAGTACAGTGTAATGTTTTGATATATGTATACAAAGTGGAATAAGTAAATCAAGTCAATTAACATATTAGTCACCTCGTCACCTCACTTGCCTATCTTTTTTTAGGGTGAAACATTTGAAACTGAATATCTTAGTGATTTTGAAATAAACAATACATTATTATTGACTATTAATTACCCTGTTGTACAATAGATTCCTCTTGTCTATCTGAAACTTTTTACATTTTGATCAACAACTCTTCATTCCCTTTCTCTTCATAACCACAACTCCCAGCCGTTGGTAAGTTGTGGTCATTCTGCTCGTTACTTCTATGATTTCAAATTATTTAGATTCCATGTATAAGTGATACCAGCTGTTTTTCTGTGTCTGGCTTATTTCACTTAGCATTATGTACCTCAGATTAATTTGTATTGTTGAAAATGACAGGATTTCCCCCTTTTATGACTGAATAGTATTCCATTGTGTGTATATATCACATTTTCTTTATACATTCAGAAACTGATGAACATTTAGGTTGATTCCATATCTTAGTTATTGTGAATAATGCTGCAGTGAGTATGAAGGGCTAATATGATTTTAGTTTCTTTGGATATATACTCAGAAGTATAAGATTACTGGATCATATGGTAGTTATATTTTTAGTTTTTAAAGGGAGCTTCATGTCATTTTCCATAATGGCTGAACTAATTGACATTTGCAGTAACAATGCACAGAAGTTCCCTTTTCTTGGAATCCTTGACAACACTTTATTTTCTAGCTTTGTGATAAAAGCCATTCCAGCAGGTGTGAGGTAATATCTTTTTGTAGTTTTTATTTGCATTTAGCTAATGATTAGTGATGCTGAGCATTTTTTTTTTTTTTTTGTATACCTATTGGCCATTGATGTGGTTTGGCTGTGTCCCAACCCAAATCTCATCTTGAATTCCCACTGTTGTGGGAGGGACCCAGTGGGAGGTAATTGAACCACGGGGGTAGGTCTTTCCTGTGCTGTTCTCGTGATAGTGAGTAAGTCTCACGAGACCTCTGGTTTTATAAGGCAGAAGTACCCTGCCAAACACTCTTTTTGCCTACTGCCATCCATGTAAGATGTGGCTTGCTTCTCTTTGCCTTTGGCCATGATTGAGGCCTCCCTAGCCACATGGCATGGTGAGTCCATTAAACCTCTTTTTCTTCTCAATCTCAGGTATGTCTTTATCGGCAACCTAAAAACAAGCTAGTATAGTAAATTGTTACCAGTAGAGTGAGGTGCTGCTCTAAAGATACCCGAAAATGTGGAAGTGACTTTGGTACTGGGTAACAGGCAGAGGTTGGAACAGTTTGGAGGGCTCAGAAGAAGATAGGAAAATGTAGGACAGTTTGGAACTTCCTAGAGAATTGTTGAATAGCTTTGCCTGAAATGCTGATAGCGATATGGACAATAAACTAGGCTGAGATGGTCTCAGGGGGAGACGAGGAACTTGTTGGGAACTGGAACAAAGGTGGCTCTTGTCATTTTTTAGTAAAGAGACTGGCAGCATTATGCCACTGCTCTAAAGATTTGTGGAAGTTTGAACTTGAGAGAGATGATTTAGGGTATTTGGTGGAAGAAATTTCTAAGCAGCAAAGCATTCAAGAGGTGACTTGGGTGGTATTAAAGACATTCATTTTTACATGGGAAGCAGAGCATAAAAGTTCAGAAAATTTGCAGTCTGACAATGTGATAAAAAAGAAAATCCCATTTTCTGAGGAGAAATTCAAGCCTGCTGCAGAAATTTGCATAAGTAATGAGGAGCTGAATGTTAATCCCTAAGACAATGTGGAAAATGTCTCCAGTGCAGATCAGAGATTTTCACGGCAGCCCCTCCCATCACAGGCCTGAAGGCCTAGGAGAGAAAAATGGTTTTGTGGGCTGGGCCAAGGGTCCCCATGCTATGTGCAGCCTAGCGACTTGGTGTTCTGTGTCCTACCCACTCCAGTCATGGCTGAAAGGTGCCAACCTAGAGCTCAGGCCATGGTTTCAAAGGGTGCAAACCCCAAGACTCGGTAGCTTCCATATGCAATTGAGCCTACAAGAGCACAGAAGTCAAGAATTGGGGTTTGGGAACCTCTGCCTAGATTTCAGAGGACATATGAAAATGCCTGATATCCAGGAGGAAGTTTGTTGCAGGAGTGGGGCCCTCATGGAGAACCTCTGGTAGGGCAGTGCAGAAGAAAATTGGGGTCAGAGCCCCCATACAGGGTCCCTACTAGTATACTGCCTAGTGGAGCTGTGAGAAGAGGGCCATTATCCTCCAGACCCCAGAATGGTAGATCCACCACCACTGACAGCTTGCACCATGCACCTAGAAAAGCCAGACTGTACCCTGCAAAGCCACAGTGGAAGAGCTTCCCAAGACCATGGGAACCCACCTCTTGTGTCAGTATGACCTGGATGTAAGACATGGAGTCAAAGGAGGTCATTTTGGATCTTTGAGATTTGACTGTCCTGTTGGATTTTGGACTCAGATGGGGCCTGTAGCCCGTTTGTTTTGGCCAGTTTCTCTGATTCAGAATGGCTGTATTTACCCAATGCCTGTACCATACCCCTCCACTGCCCACTGCATTTAGGGAGTAACTAACTTGCTTTTAATTTTACAAGCTCATAGGTAGAAGGGACTTGCCTTGTCTCAGATGAGACTCTGGACTGTGGACTTTTGAGTTAATGCTGACATGAGTTAAGACTTTGGGGGACTTTTGGGAAGGCATCATTGGTTTTGAAATGTGAGGACATGAGATTTGGGTGGGACCAGGGGCAGAATGATATAGTTTGGTTATATCCCCACCCAAATCTCATGTTGAATTCCCACTGTTGTGGGAGGGACCTGGTAGGAGGTAACTGAATCGTGGGGGCAGGTTTTTTCTGTAATGCTCTCATGAAAGTGAATAAGTCTCATGAGATCTGACAGTTTTATAAGGAGAAGTTCCTCTGCACAAATGCTCTTTTTGCCTGCTGCTATTCATGTAAGATGTGACTTGCTCCTCATTGCCTTCCTCCATGGTTGTGAGGCCTCCCTAGCCATGTGGAACTGTAAGTCCACAGTAGACCTCTTTTTCTTCTCAGTCTTGGGTATGTCTTTATTAGCAGCATGAAAATGGACTGATACAGCCATTAAAACACCAGAGTTTCTATGTCTAGTTTCTTTCCCTCTGACTACCCCAATTCACTCCACCTCCTCTTCCAGGAAGTACAGAAATTGCAAACAATAGAGATGTTCATTGGTCAAAGCTCTTACCTTAAAAAGTATTTACTTTATTGCCTCACTCTTTTGGACATACTGAAACATACCTGATATGGTTTGGAGATTTGTTTCCTCCAAATCTCATGTTGAGATGTGATCCTCATTGTTGAGGAAGGAGCCTAGTGAAAAGTGTTTGGGTCGTGGGGGTTAATTCCCTCCTAAATGGCTTGGTGCCTTTACTGAGGTAATGAGTGGGTTCCTACTCTATTACTTCACACACTGCTGGTTGTTTATAAAAGCCTGGAACCTCCCCAACCCTTTCTTGCTCCCTTTCTTGCCATATGAGATGACAGCTCTCATTTTGCCTTCCATTATAATTGGAAGCTTCTTGAGGCCTCACCAGAAGTCAAGCAGATGCTGGTGCCATGCTTGAACATCCTACAGAACCATGAGCCAAATAAACCTTTCTTTTTAAATTGCCCAGCTTCTGGTATTACTTCATGGCAACTCAAAACTAACACAATACCTAAACACAGAACATTTCTAAATCACAGGACTGTATAGTTTGAAATCATTACAAATTTCTGGTCTCCAGCCTTGTTTAAGTTCTAATTATTTATTTTTTCATTCTCAACAGCTATAATTAACCATAGTGTCATCTAGTATGGCTAATCTCCTGGTTTCCCCAAGACTGAGGGTGTTCCCAGAGCATGGACTTTCAGTGCTAAAGCCAAGTAAGTCCCTGGCAAGCTGGAATGAGGTAGTTACCCTAGACTCATCAGATCTTCTCTTTGACTGAATTTTCCTTACTTCTGATAAGAGGTCTAATTTCTTACTTATAGAGAAAATAGAGGCTATCAGGTAGAAAATTTCTCAATATCCTTTCCTACCCATTAAAAAATATCTGGCTAGGGACCTGCTTTTATTTGTTATCTCCACTTTTCATGTCTTATTCACATCTAACCACTCATCATATCTAATAATTCTTTTCCATCAGTGTAGTGTTAAAGAAAAATTTGCCATGTTCAATTATGCACCTAGAAACTGTCCCTACATGACTCTAAACTTTTTTCTATGTCCACATTTTTTTTAACTTACAACCAAGCATGACCAAATCCAAGGAAGGGGGTTATTATGTTCTCTCTTTTTTTTTTCCTATGTTAAATAAGCTCCCCTTTCTATCCTTATATGTAGTGCTTTCATTTTCAGCCTATACATTTCTTGAGTGATCCTGCTCTCCTCTGAGTAGCAGGCAGATAGACCCTGCTTTGTTTTGTGTTTCAAATATCTGGCAGCCTTTATTGTTTCTTTAACAATATAAACATGGACAAGTATTGCACATCTTAAACACAAAGCACACTCTTTCTACACTCGACCATCTCTTATCCTGTCTCTATCCTTCTTTACTAGTTATTTAGTTTGAGAAAGAAATGTGCCTTTTCTCTTCACTTTCTCCATGAACTGCACTGTCATTGCCTTTTCAATGTACTTCAACCAATCTGCTTTTGTATAATCACCAACGACCATCTTGTTGCTAAAGTTTATAGAAAATGCTTGCCTCCTATCTGTGACTTACAAATGAGTTTGTATTTAAAATCATATAAAAGATTATAGAAAAATCATAGAAAAAATACAAAGATTGGTTTTTCGAAAGAATAAATAAAGCAGATACACTGCTAACAAGGGTAATAAGAAAAAAGAGATAAGATAAAAATAAACACAATCAGGAATGGCAAAGGGGTTATTATCACTGACCCCACAGAAATACAAAACCCTCAGAGACTGGTATGAACATCTCTATGCATGCAAGCATAAAAGCCTGGAAGAAATGGATGAATTCCTGGAAACATAAAACCTCCCAAATTGAACTAGGAAGAAATTGAATTCCTGAACAAACCAATAATGGGTTCAAAAATTGAATCAGTAATAAAGACTCCAGAAAAAGCCCAGAACCAGATGATTTATAGCTGAATTCTACCAGCTATATAAAGAAGAGGTGGTGCCATTCCTACTGAAACTATTCAAAAAATTGAGGAGGATGGACACTTTCATATATTATTCTATGAGGCAAGCATCATTTCAATACCAATATCTGGCAGAGACACAATTAATAAAGAAAATTTCAGGCCAATATCCTTGATGAAAATAAGTGCAAATATCCTCAATGAAACACTAGCAAACTGCATCCAGCAGTACATCAAAACTCTAATCCACCATGATCAGGTAGGCCTTACCTTGGGATACAAGATTTATTCAACATACTCAAATCAATAAATGTTATCCATTACATGAACAGAACTGAAAACTAAAACCACATGATCATCTCAATAGATGTAGATAAGGCTTTTGATAAAATTCAACATCTTTTCATAATAAAAAGTCTCAACAAACTAGACATTGAAGGAATGTACTTCAAAATAGTAAGAGACATCTATCAAAGACCACAGCCAACATCATACTAAATGGAAAAAATCTGGAAGCATTCCCTTTGAAAAGAAACAAGGATGTACTCTCACCACTCTATTCAACATAGTACTGAAAGTCCTAGCCAGAGCAATCATGCAAGAGAAAGAAATAAAAGGCATTCAAACAGGAAGAGAGGAAGTCAAATTATCCCTGTTTTCAGATGATATAATTCCACACCTAGAAAACCCACAGTCTCTGCCCAAAGCCTCCTTGATCTGATAAACAACTTTAGCAAAGTTTCAAGACACAAAATCGTTGGACAAAAATCAGTAGAACTCCTGTACACCAACAACATCCAAGTTCGGAACCAAATCAAAAATATAATTCCATGTATGATAGCCACAAAACAAATAAAACATCAAAGAATACAGCTAACCAGGGAGGTAAAAAATCTCTACAATGAGAAAAAAAAAAAAAAACACTACTAAAGAAAATCAGAGATGACACAAATAGAAAAATATTCCATGCTCATGTATAGGAAGGACCAATATTATTGAAATGATCATAATGCTAAAAAAAAAATTATAGATTCAATGCTATTCTTATCAAACTACCAATGACATTCTTTACAGAAGTAGAAAAGCAATCTTAAAACTTACAGTGAACAACAACAAAAAAGAGCCCAAACAGCCAAGGCAGTCCCAGGAAAAAAAAAAAGAAAAAGAAAGAAAAAAAGAAAAAAACTGGAGGCATCACATTACTCAACTTCAAATTATACTGCAGAGCTACAGTAACCAAAGCATCATGATACTGGTACAGAAACAGACACATAGACCAATAGAACAGCATAGAGAGCCCAAAAATAATGCTGCATGCCTACAACCATCTAATCTTTGGCAATGTTGACAAAACAACCATCTAATCTTTGGCAATGTTGACAAAAACAACAGATGGTTGGGTAAGGACTCCTTAGTCAATAAATGGTGCTGGGAAAACTGGCTAGCCATATATAGAAGATTGACACTGGACTACTTCCTTACACCTATAGAAAAATCAACTTATGATGCATTAAAGAATTAAATGTAAAATATAAAGCTATACAAACCCTATAAGATAACCTAGGAAATACCATTATGAACATAGGCCCTGGCAAAGACTTCATGACAAAGATACCAAAAGCAATAACAACAAAACAAAAATTGACAAATGGAACCTAAGTAAACTAAAGAGCTTCCGCACAGCAAATGAAACTATCAGGCAACCTACAGAATGAGAGGAAATGTTTGAAAAGCATGCATTTAGCAAAAGTCTAATATTCAGAATCTCTAAGAAACTTAAATTACAAAGCAAAAACCAACCCCATTAAAAATGAGCAAACAACATAAACAGTTTTCAAAAGAGGATACGCAAGCAGCTAACAAGCATATGTAAAAATGCTCAACATCACTAATCATTAGAGAAATGCAAATCAAAATCAAAGTGTGAGATACCATCTGACACTAGTCAGAATGACTATTATTAAACAGTCAAAAAATAATTTATGCTAGTGAGGTTGCAGAGAAAAGGGAACACTTATACAGTACTGGTGGGAATGTAAATTAGTTCAGCCATTGTGGAAAGCAGTGTGGCAATTTCTCAACATGCTTAAAACAGAATTACCATTCAACCCAGCAATCCCATTGTTAGCTATTACTGTATACCCAAAGGAATATAAATCATTCTACCACAGAGACAGGTGCATGTCTATATTCATCACAATACTATTCACAATAGCAAACACATGGAATGAACTTAAATGCACATAAACAGGAGACTCAGTAAGGAAAATGTGGCACACATACACCATGGAATACTACTCAGCCATAAAAAATGAGATCATGTCCTTTGAAGAAACATGGAAGAAGCTAGAGGCCATTATCCTAGGCAAACTAACACAGAAACAGAAAATCAAATGTCACATGTTCTCACTTATAAGTGGGAGCTAAACACTGAATACACATGGACACAAAGAAGGGAACAATAGTCACCAGGGCCTACTTGAGAGTGGAGGGTGGGAGGAGGTTGATGATGGAAAAGCTGACTACTGGGTACTATGCATATTACCTGGGTGAGGTAATAAGTAATAAGTAATAATAATAGGTAATAAGTAATAATATGTACACCAGACTCCCATGACTTGCAATCTATCTATAGAACAAACATGTACATGTTTCCCTCAACCTAAAATGAAAGTTTTTTTAAAAAAACTAGATGACCAGAACTTATAAAGAATAATAAAACATCATCCATAATTCTTATATGCAGAACTAAATCGTTCTCTGAGGTTTTTGTCACTATTTACAATTCTACAAATCAGTTACAACTCCTTTCTTAAAATGATTCTGGTTGTATTTATAGTCCTATGGAAGTTCCCTCTCAGTCTTTTTGTTAAACCCTCATCTAGTACCCAAAATGTACTCAAATATTGATGTTTCCAGCTTTACAACCTCATCTCACTGTTCCATTTACACTATAGATTCTCCCTGGCTGAGTTACTTTTTCTAGCATCATGGCTGTATCTACAACCTAATTCTGAGATCTGCCAAATCTTTCTCTACATACCAAGTTCCATATGACTTTTCTTCAAGTGCCGCAATCTCAACACTCCCTCAAACTGATTTTATTGTATCCCAATTCCACTATCAGAAACATCCTCTACTGATGACACAACTATCAACCCCGTTAATTGGTTATTATCTTTGATTTCTCTTGCCAACCATTCACATGCAGCCAGTTATTAATTCTATTAAGCCTCTTTTAAATTTTTTAGCTCTTCCTCTCTGCCTGGGAGTGGACTCATTTAAGAACTGTATTTGTGCAGTAGTCTTCTAAATGGAATCTTTACCTCTAGGCTTGGCCTTCTTCAATCAATTTTTTACACTGCTGCTAAAGTGATTTTTTGAAAACATACATCTGAACATTGTGCTTAAGATCATGGGCTCTTGAATTAGACAGCTCTAGATTTATACTAGTAATAATACTTACTCACAGTAACCTTGGACAAGTTGTTTAACCTCTTTAGCCTCAATTTTGTCACTGATAAATTGGGATAATGATACCTATATCAGAGTATTATCTTGAGAATCAAATAAGTAATTGATATAGTTTGGCTGTGTCCTCATCTAAATCTCATCTTGAATTGTAACTCCCACAATTCCCACGTGTCAAGGGAGGAACGAGATGAGAGGTGATTGAATTATGGGGGCAGGTCTTTCCTGTGCTGTTCTTGTGATAGTGAATGAGTCTCATGAGATCTGATAGTTTTAAAATGGGATTTTCCCTGCACAAG